AGTGCCTCTTGATGAATTGTTCTGCAGCAAAACGCCCGTCCATTCCATGATTCATACATAATTCCATAGACAGCGATAGCAGAAACATTGCTTCTGTTTAGCAACCTTGACCTTCCATGTATCCGTGAACCGTGAACAATGCAGAGACTCCATTACATCATCAACTGTCAAAGAACAGATCCAGATAAGACTTAAATGACAAGCAATGTGCTTCTGGGTGGAGGGGAAATCCAAACCGCAAAGCAACAACACAAAGCAAGCCACCGGGAGGACTTTGCAGCATCGCAGCTTAGTGGATAGCGCTGTGGGTTTGTAGTTCTGCATCCAACATCCAAGCAGGGACAAGATCGGCTCAAGAGCTTGCACTTCTTTCCTCTCTCAAACCTTTTCTACATTTAAAAGCAAAAATGTGTCATATATTGCCCCTCCGCAGTCCTTAGATGGGGTGGCTGCATTTGTTTTCTTCCTTTATTTTAACCTGGTGATCCAGCCATTTCCTGTCCTAGGGTGAAAACGCTCATTCACTGTACTGGTCATGCCTGATGAAGGGCCCCCGAGTGCCCCCGAAACGTTGCTATGTGACAAAGATGTTTGTGCATCAATAAAATGATCCCTTCTTGAAGATTTAACCACGGTGTGGTGGGGACATACTATAATATGTTACCAGGTAGACCGCTGTGTTGCTGGAGGAAGCCTCCACTTTGTCTGAGAGAGTGCTATGTTACCATATAGACTGCTACTAATGTAATCATAGAATGCGCTACGTAGTCATGTTCCCAGGTAGACTGCTGTGTTGCTGGAGGAAGCCTCCACATTGTCGGAGAGAGTACTATGTTACCATATAGACTGCTACTAATGTAATCATAGAATGCGCTACGTAGTCATGTTCCCAGGTAGACAGCTGTGTTGCTGGAAGAAGCCTCCACATTGTCGGAGAGTGCTATGTTACTCAGATAGACTGCTACTAATGTAATCATAGAATGCGCTACGTAGTTGTGTTCCCAGGTAGACAGCTGTGTTGCAGGAGGAAGCCTCCACATTGTATAGGAGACCGCTAAGTCTCTCATGGCATGGCAGCGCTCTCTAACATAGTACTCTCTGGTTGAGGAAAGTGACCATCTTGGCTTATTGCAGAAGTAACAATAAACAAGGACCGTCTTATTGATCACCAAGCTGTGGATGATTCATATATCTTAGTGGTAATCTGCACCCCACTTCATCTATCAAAGTGCCCCCTGCACCCCTCGTCTTACCCCTACACTCAGTCCCAGCACAGCATTGTGCAATATTTTCCTCTTCTCGGCTCTGGAGAATTCTGCAACTGGGCAGTAACAAAGGAGCCATTTTGAAGGAGGCCATTAGCGGGGGCCAGGGTGAACACTTCTGGCCACTTTGGCCTGCCAATAACCCCGAGTGGGCTTTAATCTGCTTCCACGTTACCTGGCTACAACCGGCTCACCTGGAAGCCTTTGATGTGACTCACAAATGGCCGTTCTCTCCCACAGTCCCTGTGAATGGGCAGATAATTCCCACAATCGCCGGCCATTCTCCTAATAACCTCTCTGCTCGGACGATTAGCGCGGGAGGCTCCAACAAGGAGGAAGAAACGTCTTACAAATTGCTGCCCTCCTGATCCTGACAGGTTT